AATAACTTTATATTAAATGTAAATTTTGAAAATCCAACCGTTAGATTGAAAGTTCATATCTCTTAGATCATATATGTCAAATTTTGTTAAAATTGAACAACAACTTGAAGGTAATCAAAGTGTTCATATTTTAGTATATTTTGAAATGTATATATTACGTTAATTTTATTTTATAAGAATGAAGTATCAAATCATCTTAGATTAATGTAAAATTTGATATATATGATCTAAGAGATATGAACTTTCAATCTAACGGTTGGATTTTCAAAATTCACGTTTAATATAAAGTTATTGAGCGGTGTAACACTTAGTAAAAGTTACACCGGTGTCGTTTGAACCCTTCTATATATATATATATATAATACTTCAATAATAAGTTTACTTAAATTTATTCTATTCAACAACTCATGTTCTACATTAAATTTTAATAATTCAAATGTTGAATTAAATTTTTTTAATTTATAGATCAAATTTATAAATTTTTAAAAATTTTACAATTATTTAATAGTTTGTTTCATTAATTCAAATTAATGTATAAAATTCTTTTATAATTATTTATCAATTTGAATTAATAAAATGAAGTATTAAATAGTCTTTAATTTTTTTTAAATTTGCAAACTTGATTTATGTATTAAATTTTTTTAATTTAATGACTAGATCATTAAAATTTGTTGTAAAATATAAGTTATTGAGTAAGTAAATATAAATAAACTTGCTTTTGAAATAAATGAATCATTTCTCATATATACAGAGGAGGGTTCAAACAAAATTGACGTAATATATACATTTCAAAATATACTAAAATATGAATACTTTGATTACCTTCAAGTTGTTGTTCAATTTTAACAAAATTTGACATATATGATCTAAGAGATATGAACTTTTAATCTAACGGTTGGATGTTCAAAATTTACATATCCATTTATATATATATATATATATTCCAATTTTATCTGTCTTGTTCAAATTTTTACGTTATCAAATTTTTAATGTTTTCTGTTAGGGCTGCTTAACATTCAACGATGGACTTGATTTGATGTAAGATGAAAAATTAGACACTTCACAAGTCTGATCATCGAAAATTGATTATCTTGTTTCAACTAACAACGTTTATGTTTGATGAAAAATATATTTTGAAAAAATTCAATTATTTTATGTCGTTAATATACTTCACAAATGTTTTTTAAGTAACGTTTTTGTTTTCTCCACAAGCATAACAAAGAGGATAATTTATAATTTTATCTATTTTCTTTTTTCTCAAACAAAATAACATTAAATTCTATTTTCTTTTTTTGTTTATTCTCATACCTTTTATTTTTCTTCTTCATTTCCCTTTTCTCATGTACACTTTGTTTGATAGCTTAGAAATGGAATAAAAAGAGGGAGAGAGTGGGAATGAGATAATAGAAATAAGTAAGTGGGTTTGGTATGTAAAAAATGATGGAAGTGAGAAATAAAAATACCATTGCATGATAATTTTAGCGTAGTCAAATTATTATAATTTTTGCTACTTAGGTATTGAATTATAAGATGTAGTAACTTAAGTTTTATAATAAACACGAATTTATTTGATTGTATTTTTATTATACTTGATTACTTTTTTAATTAAAATAAAAATATCATTAAAAAATTAAGTATTTTGTATTTTTTATTCCTTTCTTAATTTTCATATTTATTTTATTTTTATATACTATATTTTTCACTTTTATTTTTATTTTTTATTTATTTTTATTCTATTTATTTCTTCTATTTTTTTTATATATCTTATTTCTAATCTATTTCTTTTCATTTTACCAAACATACATAATATTATTTTTCACCTATTTCTCTTAAATCAAACAAACAAATTTCTATTCTATGTTTTACCTATTTTTATTTACTTATTATTTTTTTATTTTCTATTCTTTTTCCATCTTATATCTTTCCTAAGCAAAAATAGTGGTATTTCAAAAAATCTGTTCCACCCGATTCCCTATTAAAGTTTGACATCCTAACAAAATTTAACCATCATATAAACTTTCTTGAAAAACACGCTCAAATTTTTTAAAAAGATACCCACTTGGATTAGAAAATTCCTATTAACTAACTTTTACATTGGTACTAATTTAGACTTTTATTTTCAAACTAACACCATATTTAACCCCAAGTGTGTGGTTCAGCGGTAGGGGTTGATCCACGCTTAAACAAAGTCAGGGGTTCGAATCCTGCCTTGTGTATGCAGCCGCGTTAAATCTTGGGGCCAGCTATCCCACCCTTTGAGGTGCCTCCAACGTAGCGAGGAGATTAGTCACTGCTGTCGACGGTGGATACTCCAGGAACGAACCTAAAAAAAACTAACACTATATTTTGCATTTCAATTTTTTTGGACAGAATTTAATACACAGAAATATAGAATACGACAGACTATACCGTAATTTAGTTACATTAATCACTTAGATATGTATGTTTCACGTCAATTTTTTTTATTATTATTGAGAATGTGAAAGTAAACTTTTTTTTCTTCTTATATTTGTTAAAATGTTATCCAACAAATTTTTTATTTTAGAAAAATTATATTTTTATTATTGAGAAAGTTTTTATTTATGAAAAAGTAAATTTTTTTATGAGAATATAGTAAATTATTTTTTATTACACCATTACACATGTAACTTCTATTTTCATATATTTTGTATTTAAATTGTTTTTAATTTTAAAATACATTCTTAAAAAATATTAAAATGAAACTAAGAACTTTTTAAAAATTCTTGTAAATAATATTTTTATTTATAATATTTCTTTTTATTCTCAAACAAAAAAATGACACCTTAAAAAAAGAACTAATATACAATATACAAAAACCTTATCTTCAAAGAGGTAATTTCAGTGAAAAATGTCTTTCCTTTAAAGAAAAATGGTTTAGTGCATTTTAAACTTTCATTAAATTATTCATAACCCCGTTAAAAAATATCAATTAACACAATGTTAATTTTTTTTTACATGTATAAGTTTACATTAAAAATTAATTTTAGATTCCAAATTGATTTTTATCTAAAACAATTCCGAAATCCTGACCTCACATTTTTATAGGTTGTTTACTAAAAAAATTAAATTATTTTTATTTGACAAAATTTTTTATTTATTTAATTAATTTATAAAATTAAAGAAAGGGACACCGAAGAAGCATTAAACTTATAATAATAAAAGTCCAAAAAGTTAATTTGGCATACGTAAAAACTAGAAAGTAAAAAGAGCAGTGACTTTATGAGCAACACTTAATATCACGTCATATTATATCAAATTTATAAGCAACACTTAATATCACGTCATATTATATCAAATTTATGAATTATTTAAATTTTAACAAAATTATTATAAATAACTTTGCTAAAATTTAAGTAACTCGTGAATCTGATACAGTAGAATGTGGCAATAGAGATGCTCTTAGCGTGTGTCTAGTAACAAGTAACACAAGTCACACAAGCACTGAACTAGGCTTGTTTCTTGTGTCTGGTGGGAATAGACAACACAGAAGCGACACACATGACACGACACAGCACAAGTTGAAATTAAAAAAGGGAAAAATAAAATAAAGAAAGGGGCAACGAAATTGGACTATGTATAAATTAATAAACAAAAGGACTCTATACAACGGAGAGAGTAGTAATAGTGGTCATTTCATTATTCCAACCGAGTAACGCCGTTTCCTTTCCCACCAACGGATTTTCCTCTTCCGCTTCCGCTTCCGTAACCGTCGTCGTCGCTCCTTCGCTTCTCGATAACTCTTACGTTAGACGCTGTCCTCCAAACGGGATCTCGTCGTGGGAATAAAGAGGATTCATTCGGATTGGTTTCAACACGAATCGTTTTGGCTTCCGGGATATTTTCTTATTATTGCCTTTTTTTTAAAAAAAATTTTTCCTCGGGCGTTGACTTGCGTTGAAGCATGTTGAACCGTGCGTCAAATGTTTCGGCTGAAGGTGGGAGAGGAATGAGTTTTGTGCGGAATTTGAGGTTTCTGTTTTGGTTTGTGTTGTGTTAACGGTTTGGTTTTTTTTTTTTTTTTTTTTT